TCTTGTTGCGCTGTGCAGCATTAGACCAACATCTTTTCCACTGTTTCAAAATGGGAGTCCGCTCCTAAGGCAAGTGAGTTGGCTTCCGCAGTGTTTGTCTTCCATGGGTCTCGTGACCTGATTAGCAGCAGCGAACGTAATACAAATTTTGATGGTACCGCCTTCGTCAATGTTTTACAAGACCGTCAAAAGCGAGCACATTCATATCCCGTCAACATCTAGCCAAACGATTAGGCATTTTGTGAAACCTTGGGCTGCAAGCCTGCTGCTGCTTCCACTCATATCCACTCATTTGCTTGACGTCGGGCATGACAGCACGTGATGTTAAATGAATCCTTGAAGGCTCCAACCTTTGTCAATGATTGACAGGGGCTGCACTCCCTACAAATCTGCAGCCATTAAGCATCCTCAGAAAGCAAACAATCAATTTATGCCGGCGTTGGAAAATTGTAAACGCTTCGGGCACCCGCCTCGCCTGTTGGGGTGCACAGAACGTCCTTGCAGATCACGGAATAGGCGGGGGTTGGGGGATCGGGCTGGACAAATCCAAAAACATGCTCACCGGCTCCCTAATCTAGCTCTCAAGCCTTGGAGGTCCTGGAATTTCATTGTTGACGGTGGGGCTTGACTGGGCCGCTCACCAGGGGGGGACGTGGCCAGGTTGTGGGTGGTCAGCAAGGGCGAGTAATTCGAGTTTTTGTGGGTTCCAAAGGCCCTGAGGCTGGACCAGCCTCGGCGAACTTACAGCATCATGTGAGTCTACTCATCCATGTTCCGCAAGTCTCCCTACCAACCGCGCTCGTTCTTTCTGAAGAGTTGAGTGACCCTGCAAGAGATGTTCTGAAGACTCATTTTCAATTAGGGTCTGACTTTAGGCATGCTGCATCACAGCCTTTTCCACAACAAGCGGTGGTATTGTTCCTTGAGGTTATGATTGGTATTGTTGATGAAATACAGCTTTCTAAAGACCAACAACGGCTGTTGCAAACAGCGTCGCATCCTTTGATCCAAAGAGCTCCAACTCTTGAGTGATAGAATGTCTCCAGCTCTTCAGGCAGCCCAAATACTGCAAATCAGCGTACTTGAGCACTTTGCAGCCTTCAGCACCGAATGCTGCAATCTAGTGCATCTTTGCCAAGACCAAAGGCCGTAATTTGCAGTATCTGTAGCTGCTGAAAAATGAACATGTGAGAAGCTGCACGTGTAGAAGGAGGGCTTGAATGGATAAACATGGATAAACGTAAAAGACCCACCGATAGCCAGTGCTCTCTTCAGGCAGTCCGCGCTGCACATAGCCAAGACGCAGCTTGACTTAGACAATCTTCAGAATGTGTGGCACGTTTTGCCGCAGTCACGTGGATGGGACTGAGTCCTCGGCTGTCAGGCATGCAAATCGCTTGGCCTCCCATTTGATTATGAATGAAGTGGCTACTTGGATGACAGCACATCCAAGTTCGCTTCACCTTCCAGATAGATGAGCAGCAATCTGCTCAGGCTTGCATCCGACAAGCATGTGCTGAAGCTATAGGGAAGCTTGGCCCGTCGCTGGCTCAATTTGTGAGCCATGCGGATCTCTTCGCTGCCCCTGTTTGCTCCAAGGCCTGCCTGCGGATGTCTTCACGAGCTTGTCCTGGCCTTGGGCGACTCCGACTTGAAGGCGCAAGCTAGTTCTTTCTGCGTTTTTGGTGTGTTGGGTATGTGTTTGCAGGTGCGGCGGGCAGCAGCTCACGCCCTTGCCGGGCTTGGTGAGGGGTCGGCTACAGAGGCTGTGGTGCGGCACCCAGGCAAATCCACAGTTTGACAAAACGATCGTGCAGCTGCGTGCTCAGACCCGCAGCCTAGGCCCTTATTCGGAGCCTTGAGGACCTAGCAGAGCACATCTGCTTTAGACCTTCTCAGCCATAGAAGTTGTTGTTTTTGTGACTTGGGTTGACTTTCATTGCAGTGTCATGCATGGTGCTATGCAAGAGCCAGCGTGCAGTCTGCTGAGATGTGCCGTGTATGTCAAGGGTTGCCTTGATCTGTCACAACGTGCTTTCCCTGCGTTGGTGCCTTGTGCCTCTCCGAGCCGACGGCTACTTCCAGTTTTCGCGACCCAAATAGTCTGATCACGGTGGGTCGAGCAGTACGGAGCTTGCACTTAAGATACCTTGACCAGCAAAAGCATTAAGGGCCCAGCTATAACATAATTCAAATGCACGAAGGTCAGCGCATCAAGCAATTGGAAGCTCATGGTTTGTTAATGGAATTGCTTTTGCATTGCTCTCGCGCAGCCCGAGATCCTACGCGCTCACAGCTTCCCAAACCACCAAGTCTAAACTAAGCGCCCATACAAAGAAGCCAGCAATGTGTTAGTAAGCGGGTCCGGGTAAGGTGGCCAAATTAGCAAAGCGTGTGCGAATGCTTTAATCAAGGAAACAGTGACGGCATGTCTAGCAGGTTTGGGGCATCGTGATGGGATGTTTGCGTGACTTGAAGAAGCATTCTAAGCCCATAGCTCCAACACCTAACGCGCATGGCGCAACTTCCCTGATGGCAGCGCCGCAGCCGCAGAAAGGTAGACCAAGCGCGGATCACGTTGCGCCCTCTTTGTTATTCTGCTCTTCCTATTACTACAGACTTTTTCGCGGCAGCGTTGCGCGCAAAACAAGGCGTGTCTTCTTCACAGTGCTTAGCGCGAGCGCGCCTCTTCTTGGATGATGCTTTCGTGGGCCAATGTGTTGCAGCTCGTGCGTGGCTGTGGGGGGGAAGACACGGTAGAGGCCAGCACGTGAGATGCGTACATTCCGAGCGCAAGGAAGACTGTCAAAGTGACCGCGCAAGCTCTACCTCTGAACGATTGGAAGCAGGTGTGCAGAACGCGAGACCGGCTGGCAGGAAAACATTTTCGTTTGTCCCAATGCCGTTTCTTGGATTGCAGATTATGCCTTCACGGCGAATATTTTGCAGGCTAGCAGCCATATGAGTAGCAGACTAAATCTATGTAAAAGGACAGTAGTAAGGGAACGGTCATGACGTTCTCACAATATAGCGAAAACCCTGAAAACCGATAGGGGCCAACCCTATTTTTTGGATTGTCCTTTTGGATATGGGCCCCCAAGGTGGTTATAACTTCTTATTGCTTCCTCTTTTTTAAAGGGAAGAGACGAAATCAGAAGAAATCATCATAATAACAGTGTTCCCAAGCAAAAGAAACCAATGTGCCTCACAGCAGAAGCTGCAGGTTGCCATACAACATCATCAGAGACCGTAAAAGATTACGGGAAAGCAGCTCCATTATTGCAGTGGCGCGTTGAAATATCCTTACGTGAAGCCTTTCAGGTATGATGAACCTGAAATTTTCTCAAATGTAGCTGAGCCCCACCGATAGCCCTACCGATACCCGACCGATACCCCAAAATGATGGTTTTACGGTCCAAGAAGCCAGATGCCCAGATGTGCCTTCTGAGTACTTCATATTGGCAACGGCTTTCGTATCTTAACCTGCCTACTCTGACCCACGGACTCTCATTTCAAGGCGTTTTTGGGCCACATCAACTTGAGTATTGGGAGGCCCGCTAAGTAAAGAGGTTTTTGGAAGTATGGAAAGAGGCATGCGAGTTCAAAAATCACGGAGTGTAATGAAGGTTCAAAACGCTGAAGACCGATAGGGGCCAACCCTAAATCTGATGACTTCTACGCCACATAAGAGATTTAGTCCGGCACTCATATATTCGCAACAGGCTGTAAATGCTATCCGTGGAAGCTCAGAGTCGGCGCGTGCAAGACCAGACCGTTGCCTTTCGTTGTTCTTGGGTTTCAAGGAAGGTTCCATTCCATGTTTTGGACCTCAACGCCAGCACTCTGAGTGCCATGAGAGCAGCAACAAGCTTCTCATCAACAACCTTTAGCCCTCCAATGCGGTCTATGATGTGCTGGAGAAGGTCCGTGCTGTCGGCCACTGTCGGGGGCAAGGATAAGTACTTGGCCCTGGAACAACACATCGCAGAGCAAGCCACGTTGGTCTTGTGGTGCGACTCGGATCATCAGCTGGCCGCTGGGCTCGCAAGAGCCCAAAGCAGGAGATCGCGAAGAAATTCTTAGTGACCGGCGCATGCAAGTTGCGTCTTGGCGGCACTTTTATCTTTGCCAAGAAGCGGAGGGCAATGAATAGGGAGGTAAGCGGGAGAAGATGACGAGCAGGTGACCGCCGGCCCCGACCCTGAAGAGTCTAGAGAAGATGAGATGGATCTCCCGTCGGAGCGGCAGCCTCCAGAACGAAAAAGGGGATCCAGAAAGAGTCGGATAGCGATGACTCAGCTCGTGCTCTGGAAGATATCGAACTTTGGGAACCTGAATTCTGAAGTCCTGGATGGTTGTTGCTGCGTCAGGCTGGACTCACTAGCCAACAAAGGTGGTCCGTGCAAGCTGCCGCAGGCAACAGCTAGAGGACCTACTGGGTGGAAAACGCCCTTCCTTGGCCATTGGTCTTTTCTTCTTGCAGATTCAGCAGAACGGCTACCACCTTACGTTGAGCCTTCTGCGTTATGGAATCTGTGTGAAAGCTGGCAAGAGCGCGATCCTGCTGCATCCTCATGGTAGTCTGCTGGTGAGCGCCCGGAATCTTGGACGGAGGATGCTTGGTGGCAGATGATCATGTTGGTGACTTGTCCCCAGAAGAGCAGAAGGAGGTTGATGATGATGAGGCTTTCGCTGTGGCTGAGCAGAAGATGAGAACCTTTGTGCAGGCTCGGCAAGCTGTGAAGGCCAGCAACTTGTCCAAAGGCTCCTACCCCTTTACGCCGCAATTCAAGGGAGGCACGTTTAATGGGAAGAAGGGCAAGAGCAAGGCCGAGTCCAAAGGGCTTTCTTCGTCTTCCACAGGTTACGCTGCAGAGGAATTTCTTGGTGTGGCAGCAGGAGATCCTTCCTGCGCAGGTTGTTTCAGTTGCGGCGATAAAGATCATGATTTCAGAAGCTTTCTCCTCAACAGGTCTTCTTCCCAGGGCGGCGAGGGCAAGAAGATGGGCGCGTGAACTTTTTGTGGACGCCGTGGTCTACACCGTCGAAAAGATCCTGCTTCCAGAGTGATGTGCCTGGAGAGGCGCCAGTGCCTGGAGATGAGACGGCTGGATATGCAGTCGTCGATAGCAGCGCCGCTGAGACAGTGAGTTGGAGTCACTTGTGAAGCTTCGAGGCCAAGACAGCGTCTTCTTCGGGTGTCGAAGTATTTCGCGGGCCAGTGAAACGGTTTGGCACTGGTGAGCACGCCCTGTGTCTTGCTAGATCAAGTCTTGGGAAACCGCGAGGTTCTGCTGGGCATGTTTACATTCAACGTAGAAGGAGTTCCACTACTTGGACAGACATTGCGGGAGATCGAAGGCAGTAATAGGTTTTTATCGCAGTATATTGGTGTTTGCAGCTGCGGATCCTAATCTTGCCACACACCTACGTCGTAGCCGCTCTGGACACTTGCTGTTCACAATATCACCTATGATCGGCTTGGGCGTGAGCTCCCCCCGCCGCAACTGGAGATCCGCAGCTTTCATGGTTAATTATGGACATGCAGGCAGGTGATACTGGCGCGGTAGACATGTCCCCCAACGATGTCCAAGCAAAGGCTGATGTGACAGAGAGCGAAGTGTTTAGTGCAGCAAGTGAGTTCGTCAATGCGCTCTCAGAGCAAGCCCCGCGTGAGCACATTGAAAGCCCTGAGGGGCCCTGACCTTTGCTGCTCTGCAGCTCTGCGTGTCGCATCAGTCTTCTAGAAGGTTCAACGTCTGAGTGGGGCGGAGCGAGGGCCCCGACCCTCGGGCCCAAGGATCACAGGCCCTCCATGATTTGGGAGTCGCTCCGGTGGAGCAGCTTTGGATGAGAGATCCCATCGGCAGCGCGACCCAGGGAGGCTGGATATCCTGCCAGCAGCCTGTGTAGCGAGCAGTCCGACTTCTGTGGTTGCTTGTGTGGCTTCTTGGTTTCCTAAAGCGTCAACTCAGTGGACTTCGGTGAGCTTGACTTGCAACTTGCTATGCAGGTGGATGTGCGCTGTGGTCGGGCAACGCTTTGTGGTGATGGCCTCCGCTGTCCAAGATGTTGAGATGATGCCCAAGGAGGAGAAGGTTGTGTTGCAGAAGTTTGGTTTCCCAAATCCTGTCCAGAGTATCGCCGGATTCTAGGAAGACCCCGAAGGCGCCGTTCTAGAGGTCAAAGGGTCCTCGTGGCGGAGGAGTGCAATGTGATCTTCCGCCCGCCGAAAGACGCGCTTACGCCGTAGAGGAGATCCAGATTGCACGCCCCTCTATGGCCCGCGTGGACGTATAGTGATGTTATGTGACCCTTGGCGCGCTCCAATAAGAATTTTGATTCAGTTTTTGAGGGAAAAGGAGTTTCGTGCGCCGCGTTGGGCTTCAAGCAGAAGTGTGATTTGGGCACTCATGGGGGACACATGGAATCCAAACGCCAACTCGAAAACCTTTGGCCTCGATGGGTGGTGTGCAATGTACCATGTGGACCTAGCAAGTTCATCCCATTGAATGAGTTGGATGAGAAAAAATCCACCAGCGCACGGAGGTACCTAAAGGTGATCCCACAATATCTTTTTGCTGTCGAGGCAAGCTATCGAGCAGGAGGCAGAAGTGGCGTGGCCGACCCTTCCAAATACAAAATTCGCGCGAGTGAGGTTTGTGTTTTTTGGAAGGCACATGCGCGCGGTCCTTTGCCGGGTGATGAGGATATCAAGATAACCAGGGCCAGCGTAGCCATCCAGCACACTTTCTCATTCTTTCTCAACCGCGACCAGTGAGAGCCTCCCTGGTGCTGTGTCAGACAGTCAGACGCAGTCAGAAATCACCGGCAGCCAGCCAGAACACTTTTCTCAACCGCAATGACGAGTGGTTGATCGCTAGGCCTCGAGGGAAGTCATGTGAAACGAGGAGGGCAAGGGCGAGACTTTGCCAGTTGATACGTCCATGTTGGAACCCTTGGAGCCTTCTGAGCTGCAAAGGTTAACTGGGACAGTTCGTTGTCATCGTCGCTTTGGACATCCCTGCAACAAGCTTCTCACAAGAACCTTCAGGCCCAAGGCGTTAGCCCTCCAATGCAGTCTATGCTGTGCTGGAGAAGGCTTCCGTGCTGTCGGCCACTGTCGGGTTCAAGGATAAGTACTCGGCCCTGAAAAACACATAGCAGAGCCAGCCACGTTGATCTTGTGGTGCGACTTGGGTCATCAGATGGCCGCTGAGCCGCTGGGCTCACGAAGAAGAGCGCAAAGCAGGATATCGTGAAGAACTTCTTAGTGACCAGCGCCGCCTTTAAGCCTTTATCTCTGCCAAGAAGCAGAGGGCAACGGATAGGGAGGTAGCGCCCCAATCCCATGCAGATCTTGAGGGTTTCATGCGGATTCTTTTCCGACAACTCGTGGAACTTGCGCCCAACCCTCTTTGAAGGAAGGTTCCATTCCATGTTTTGGACTTCATTCAGTCCCATGTTTTTGCCGGTGCTCTGATTGCCATGAGAGCAGTCCCTGCGCTCGAGCGATCTGGATTCTGCAGGTGAACCTTTGGCCTAACTCCTGCTATGAGGTACAGTTTACATTTTCTTTGACTTTAGCTGTGCCATAGGCAACTGGGAGGAGACCCACGGCCCACGACCTCAGGAGCCGAGACGGCTTGTGCTGGGAATTCTTGAGACTGGGTTGATACCAGATGATGCCATTGCTCAGTTCTGACTAGTTCTGGCGATGGCCAAGGAGTTTGGGCCCGTCCCTCCCTGCCTTTGCAGCACATGCGCTTGTGCAGTGGCTAAATCAGTCCGAGTATTGCTATTACCTACTTCTCCAGCAGCTGCACCAGTTGATTGACTTCAAAGCTGGATTTCACTCACTGCAACAATTTGAGCCATCAGGGCATCGCGAGCAGGACGTACGCGAGAAATGATGAAGATCCTTTTCCACTTTCTCTCCTCTCCAAACACGAAAACAAAAGCGAGACCGCTTCATCATCAGAATTTCGGACACCCCGGGAGATTAGCAACCGCGTAAATGATTTTACAATTTGTTCTCCCCTGAACAATAAGCATGAATTTAAATGGGAGATGGAGCCACCCCGAGCAACCCGGAAACAATATCAATGAAATGGGAACCACTTGGTTCCCATTTCATCAGTGTCATTCTTGTTTAGTGTCACCCTGAATTATGATCATGATTATTTCTGGCGCAAGCGCTCCTTGCCCGCTTTGTTGGTACCGTGCCTGAAATAGTGGCCACTTTCGCGGCCTGGGGGTCCTCTCAATTCTTGGCAACAAAGGGAACAGGTCCGAAATAATTTTTGCAAACAAATGAGCTGAGCCCCTCAGCTCGGATTACGAGAGCTGCCTAGTTCATGATAAGAGATAGGGGAGGGATTTGGATCCTTCAGAAGAAAGGGGAGACATTCTCTGTTTTGAAATGGGAACTGGAGGGATGCAGTAACTCGTACAAACCAGAGAGCTATTGTGGGTAAAAAGTTCCTCTATCGGCTCTATACTTTTATGAGGAGTAGCAGCTTTCAAAATCAGGCGCAACACATGTCGGCTTGCAATAAGACGGCAGCGTCACGAATGGGGGGGGTGCTGCACCCCCCCCCCCCAACCACCCAAAACCCCCACCCCCCTGTTTTTACAGCCATCCATGCTTGCCGGA